ATGTCAAGGTGATTGTCAATCCATACTCCCTCACTATTCTTAAAAAAACTAATATGGTTTTTTTTTCTCCGGGTAGATGCACTTATTTGAAAAAATCTAGTATTTGCATCCCCTTCGTTAAGCCATGTGATTCTAGATCTAAGCTTCCAATAGTCTTCCTCTAATTTGAGAATGTTATTATAATTAGTAATTAGATCTTTTTCTAAACTTTGAAGGAAAGAGCTAGTGGAAAGATAAGGGGATTTTTGTATGCCATTTATTCTGGCTAGGAGTAACTTTTTTCCCTAAATATATTTCCAAAGTTGTCACTTCCCCATTTCTTAATAAAGGTAGTAAAAGAACTGGTTGCCCCCATAAGATCTTCGTTCTTCCATTGGTTTGCAACTATATTACCAAAATTAGGGTGAGTACACCAAATATTTTCAAGTCTAAAAATTTTTTCACAGTGGTAAGTAATATTATTAAGCTTAACAAGGATAGGCTTATGGTCCGAGTGTGTCTTAGGGAGGTGAGTAATGGTAACACTAGGAAATATTTTAATCCATTCGTCATTAGCTAAGATTCGGTCTAACCTTTCCATAATTAGACCTTTTTTCTTCCTATGATTGGACCAAGTAAATTTACTTCCCTTGAAGCCAAGGTCAATTAACTTGCATGAGTCGATATTGTCCCATACTTTAGCTGCCCTATTTTTTTAGAGGTCTTCCTCCTATTTTTTCATTTGCGCTAATAATATCGTTTAGGTCACCTCCTAACATCCACGGCCCTTTATAATTTTTAGATATCGCTTTTATATTTCCCACATAATATCTCTATATTGAACTTGTGTACTAGCATAAATAGTCGTAAAAAGCCAAGTAAAATTAAATGGACGAACCTGGAGCAATGCATGGATCTCCTGACCATTTCTGGTGAAGTGCTCAACCGCAACTACGTCGTGGTTGTAGAGGACAACCATTCCCCCTGACTGGCCTTCAGCGGGTACCTCTATGAGTTCAGAGAAATTAAATTCATGGAGGAGGGGAGCATGCACATGCATCCTAGTTTCCAAGAGAGCCACCAAGCATGGTTTATGGGTATCGATTAGATCCCCAAACTTACGACGGAAATCATCATTATTAGCACCTCGGACGTTCCAGAATATAATAGTGGTTGCTCTATTCATTAGAGTGGGTTGAGGTTGGTTCAGAGTGGAATCCCTTTCCACTGAGTTGTGACTCCTCCTTCGTGATGGAACTAGGATGATAGCTTGCTTTCCTACGGTGGGATCTTGGGGTGGACGAACATGCATTGAGCATTTGTACATGGTGCTCGGGCAACTGAAGATGTATTTCTTGCTCCATAGTTCCAGGAAGAGAAGTATTTTTACTTCGTTTAGGCTTGAGAATTCTACACTCGGTTGAGTACCTTGTGGATGGTGTTCTTCTTCTTCCTCTATTGGAGGTTGTGGAGGACCTTGTTCTGGAGCATTGGCTTGAAAAATTGGATCTAGGTTGACTGGGGCCATGTTTAGAGGGTTGTTGTTTTCCTGGGCTGCATGATGACTCCAGGGCATGAAGATTGGGTTGACCATCATGCTCTCCTCTGCTGGGAAGAAGGGGAGAGTCATTGGTAGATTGATATATTGGTTGGGAGTTTGAGGAAGGTTCCATTGAGTCTGCATTTCCTGGATCAAAGTGTGGTTTATATGTGGGGCTAGGGGATGGAGAATGTTGTTGATCCAAGCTTGGTTTGTGTAGCTGTTCATAACCAGGCGCATCCCCTTGGGTATTAGTTGTGCTAGGTAACGAGTATTCTGGATTATTATTAGCATTTCCTGACCGTTGATCTGTATATTGAAGGTTATTGCATGGCCTAGGAGACCCGCTTCTAGCCAAGAGGTCGGTTGGTAGTTCTAGGACTGGGGGGGGG